AATTTATATTTGGTATAATAATATAATTTTTTTATAAAGATAATAATTATTTATTTTGTTAGAACTCCATAATTATTCTAATTATATTTTATATTTTTTATATTTTAAAATGAGATGTTTATCCTCTATTTGATTATGTTTATCCGCAGTTAGTTATACGAATTCAAACATCGAGCTTTAATAAGTTGTACTTATGTATAAAATTACTTGTAATCTTGATTTTAAGTAATATGCATCAATATACAATACTTTATGCATAACAAAAATATATCGATACTCGTATCAAATTTACTATATAAAATTCATCATTTTTTGTGTAATTTTTTAATTCAATTTTTTTATTATAATTTAATTTAGGTACAATAACGAAGTAATTTATATTTGTTTTAATAATATAATTTTCTTATAAAGATAATAATTAATTATTTTGTTAGAACTCGATAATTATCCTAATTATATTTTAGATTTCCATGGGTTGGAAAATCGAATTGGTTTTAGGGATATTAGGGATAGGGATGGCGATATTTAGGGATAGGGATGACGATAATTGGTTTTTAAGAGTTTTAGTCAAATGCTTTATAGAGGAGCGATCAAATGAAAACCACTCTCATTTGTATGTATATATATATATATATATATAGTTTTTTTCAAATACAACCCATCGCATTTGTACAACCAATGCAACCCAATATATTAAGATATTTATGGAAATGATGAGAGTTCATTTATTATGATTTTAATATTTATGGAAGATGAATATGATTTATTAATATGATCGATACCTTATATTAGGAAACAATAAAAACTTCTATGAAATCACACATTAATCAAATGAAATGGACGGTTGAAGTACTAACCAAGAATTTTGTGTTAACTTTGTTAACCAAGCTCAACCAATCATATTTCATCTTTTCTTTAGGTTCACATATAACTTATATATTAATGACGAGGGTAATTAAGTAATTTGTCATTTATGTAACTCCCAAATCATTAATTGGGGGTTACAAATCTAAAAATATCAATAATTGATGATTATGTAATATTGATATTTTTTAATACGTGTTTATGTTTTGTAATTTCGATTTATTCTATCCATAATGATATTGATTTTGTAATTGTTAAAGAATTTCCGATTGTAAAAACTTCGATATCGTCCGAGTAATATGGATAAACCTATTGGAAAACAGATCGACAACAATGAGAATGAAAGGTTAAAATTGTCTACGACTACAATCGGAATTCGAATTCATATGTAATTGTTAAAGAATTGTTCACAAGTGTGCATATTTTCATATGTACACTAGCTGCATAGTTCAACATTGTTTTGCTCCTGAATGTGTTTATAATGAAGGAACTATTGTTCACAAACTGTTCATATTGTGTTCATACCTGTTTTTTTATTTATTTACTTTCGTGTAACAACTATTCTTATTATATTCATATTGTGTTTATAAATGCTATACAATCCAAGTTCATATATATGTCAATTTTTGTTCGTATTTAACACAATGGTTCATATATATATATATATATATATATGTGTGTGTGTGTGTGTGTGTGTGTGTGTATGTGTTCATATGGTTCTTACATTAACAAAAATAAATTAATAAAAATAATGAGATTTTTTGATTTTGTAACTCTCAATTAATGACATGGGAGTTACATAAAAAAGAAAATTACCTAAATAATCTTTTCCCCTTTGTTTACATATGCTCTTTGAAATTGTAAATTTAAAAATTTAATTTTTTATCATAATTAATCACAACCTTTTATTGTAAAAAATCAATGGTCAAGATTGGTTAACAAAGCTAACACAAAAATCTTGGTTAGTATTTGAACCAAGCGCTCTTTCTCTCTCTCTCTATATATATATCCTTTCATTCATTATATATGGAGTGTTTCATCACAAATAATTTGAGAAGCAAAGGGTTGATTTGTAATGTGTATTTATTGATGAAATATACATTTATATGAAGTCTATCAAAACATATGTAACAATCGAAAGTCCAATTCTTAATAAATAAGGCATTTGTCAAAGTGACAAATACAAATACATTTCTCGAAGGGTCGCTACAGAAATAAAATATTACTGTTGAGAATATTACAGAATTCAAATCTAAACAAGTTCTTAGCATCTATCTAACTAAGAGAATACTTCACTTCTTCAATTCTTTAGCTCACACTTTTCCATTGTCCTTGCTACAGCTCTCAATGTGGTACTTTCCTGAAAAGGTTTTCAGTTTTATAAAAAACGAGGAGTAGACCGGAAGTTTATTGAATTCACTCAAACACAAGAATCCACGTTGAAAAAAAGATTATAGTATAACTTGAAAACATTAAACATGCACACTTAAATCACAAAACGCAATTACCCGTTGTAACGGTTTATCACACATAATGGATTTTCAGACTATCCCTAAATGGGAGGAAAAAAATGTAAACTCCTCTCTTTGATCTCCAATTTACACTTTCAACCCCTGCACTTAAGGTTATATTTCCACACATCACCCTTCAACCTTATTTTAATTGATCAAAACAGAGTTTAGGTTATTACAACTAATTTCTCTTAAAGGAATTTTGTCTACAGAATTATTCGAAGCAAAAAATTAGGGATATTTGGTCTTCATTTCTAATTCGGCTTCCCACCTCGCTTATTTCTTCTATGGAACTTCCAATGCACTTTTACCAACACAGTTTCATTGTTCCTCGATTTCCTAATTTTGCGATCCATGATTGCTTCCGGCTATTCGAGATAATTCAACCTCTCATCCACTTGCACATCCTGCAACGACACTGACATAACTGCATCTGCTAAACATTTCCGTAGATTAGATACCTTTAATTTATGATGACCAAAGCACAAATCTTTTTTCTAGAAGTAATTCACCACTTGTAATTGGTCGAACAAATCATCGATTTCTTGAAAGCAGATTTGTTCTTAACCCTAATCTTGTTACGCTCATGATAGTCTTTGCACATCTCATAGACCCGTCTTTCTTTTTAATAAAAAGTACCGGTGCTCCCTATAGTGACGTACTAAGGCGAATAAAGCCCTTATCAAGCCCTTATCAAGCAATTCTTATAACTGTGTCATCATCTCCGCCGGAGCTAAGCGATATGGTGTACGAGCCATTGGCGCTGCTCCGAGCACCAAGTAGATTATGAATTCTTCTTGACGGTCTAGGGGTAAAACAGTCATATCATCAGGAAAAAAATTCAGGATCGTCTCTCACTACCGGCACGTCTTCCACTCCTCTCTTTTCTTTCTTCGCATCGTCACATATGCCAAGAATCCTTGGCACCCCGTTAATAAGCATTATCTTGCTTTTAACATTTAAATTAGGCAAGTCTTCCTATCATGACAATCACCATAAATGACATCCTCCTTTTCTTTCGGTAAAATAACTCGAATCGACTTCTTTTTACACACAATATTCGACTTGTTGCTAGCCAACCAATTTATCCCTATTATCACATCAAACTCCCCCATAAACATGGGGTATGAACACAACAAGAATAGAATAACTATCCACAATAATGCTACAACCGTCAAAAACTTCTCTCACCAAGACTCGACTCTCATCAGTGACCTCGACCTTAAACACATGGTCTAGGCATTAGGGTTTCAGTTTCAAGCATCTAATAAAGGTAGATGACACAAACGAACGACTTGCACTCGAATCAAATAGCACCGTGGAAAGAGTTGAGTTAACAAGAAGTGTACTTATGACCACATTCAGTGTCTCATCCGCCTCGGTTGCTATCATTAGAAAGGCTCGAACTTGAGCTCTAATTGGCTTCGTCTTTTTCTCTCATCCCACCACTACTCCGCCTGCTATCAAAACTACCCAATGTTCTCTTCTTCGGTGAGGACAATCCAACCTTAAATGATCTGGAGAAACACTAGTAACAAGCCCTAGTGTTGGAGAAATGTCTAGCCATATGTCTTATCTTTCTACACTCATAACACCATCTAGGCTCCGAAGCACAATCCCCACGATGTACATGATCACATTTCCCACACGCTATTTGCTAGGCCTTTTATTTCCATGACTGTCAAATCTTGAGAACTTTGTCTCGGGATCATTCAACATCCCTTCCCACTTTCTTTTGTCTCTACCTTTCCTAGAAAACTGTTGATTTTTCTATATTTCGGTCATTTCAACGACGTCAACCGCCGACTGAAAGGTAGTAAGGTTCATTGCCATCACTAGATCCCTTACTGAAGTCTTCAACCCTTAAATATACCTCTCCGCCCTTCTTTCCTCGGTCAAAACATAAATTTCAGCAAAACAAGATTTCCCCAAAAGCTTAGAAGTGTACTCTTCGACTGTCATGGTCCCTTGCTCTAGAGGCAGAAATTCTTCTTTAAGTTGTTTCACTGTTGTTTTTGAACAGATTTTCGCTATAAAAATGCCACAAACCTCTTCCAAGATGTTGTCTTAGCCGCTCCCATACCCAACATTCCACTCTCCGCCTCCTAAAAATACATGGCATCTTATTTCATCATTGTGATTAGGTGTAAGAACTTGTCTCCTTCCGCACACTTAATGGTATTAAATACTCCTTCCATCTCCTTAACCCAACGCATGGCCAACATTGGGTCTCATTCGCCTATGTACATGGGTGGATTTCACATCAAAAACATCTTGTATCTACATAGCTTTTGATCCTTCAGCAGAACCAACTATCACAGAGGGACTTTTGAGACTGACTAAATTGCTCATCTGAGGGTGGTTCACTTTCTTTAGTCCCCTCATTTATCTCTTTCTAATCGGACTCGTCATTTTAGAAGATTGTTGATTATCCATTAAGGCTTTAAGAGATATTTCTAGTTTCCCTATTCCAGCTTCAGAATCTTCCTTCGTCACAAATACTTGCTCTTGGTTTCAGCATCTACCCATGGTATGGCCCCTACCACGCACATTGACAAAGCTCCTTTGGTTCGACCCTTCTGGCTCGACTCGTGTCTCAGGTATTGCACTATGCCCCGTCCACGGTTCCAACCTTATCCTCGAGTTCTAGTTTCAAGGGATCCAACTAACACTACAGCTCCACGGGGTCCATGACCCCCGTCACAAGTGCTAACAACATTTTCGGGCCCTAAAAGTTCAGTCGATGCAGCCCCAGTAAAAGGATTACTTCCTTAGGTATCATAGAGGCAATCCATCCAGACCGACAAGACATCTTTTACAATTCTATAGTTACATTATAACATAATTAATAATCAGTTAGTTCACTACAAGGTATGCAAGCACACACATGTACCTGTAAATTCACAATAACATTGACCAAATATGATTTTGAATTTACCTTACATGATAGTTCGTTCTACCCTATCATTACTCTCACCGATTATGCCTTATTCCACCACTTCAACTTAAATCTCAACCCCACACCCTCTTTAATCTAAGTCTAGATGCTCCCTTAACACCTAAATATCTTAAACTATAGCTATTATACCACTTGTAACAACCGAAAGTCTAATTCTCCATAAAATAAGGCCTTTGCCAAACCGACAAATACACATACCAAAATAGGGCAAACCCTAATTCTTCTCAAGAGTCGCAATAGAAATAGAATATTGCTGTTGATATTATTACCAAATTCATACTAAGAATAATTAGAATTGTGTAGGAAATAAAAATTTGATCAAAAGCATAGAAAACATTTTGTTATCGAATGTTTACATAAGATAACATCCTAACATATGTTAACATGGACGTTATGCTAACATGAGAATGTTAACATAAAGTGAAAATACATTGATATACATTTAACATATGTAATAATGAAAATGTTAACAAATATAAGAATACCTATGTTAACAGCAGTCAACAATATGTTTTCTTACGCTTCTCACAAAGTTCAGTATGAAGGTTATTTGTGACCCAATGTTTTCGGTCACGGTGACAAAAATAAGTTAATGAAGGTAAATGGTGGGGTTTTTCTCATGTTTTCACCATAACTTTTATTCTCACACGATCCTCTGTGTGTGTATGTGTGCGCGTGTGTGTGATCTTGCAAGTGGTTAAACTGAGAAAGAACCTCATGATCTTTTCAAAATGAAAAAAACCCAAATAAACATGAAAATTCGGATGAAAAAAATATATAAAAATAAATGTTAAATTAAAGATAATAAGATAAAAGGTTTTAGATAAATTCTTTGCTTTTATTAAGGGTTCTGTGGAGATATCATAAAATGTAGATATTGTAAGGAGTAGCAAAGGAAGGGATGGGAAAGTAAGAAATATGTTGACCATGCGTTAATTGAAGCCAAAAATAATGAGATGTTATATATATATATGTATGTATATATGTATGTATGTATGTATGTATGTATACATGCATGCATGCATGTATGTATGTATACATATGTATATGTATATGTGGAGTAGGATTTGGACCCACCACATTATCGTTTTCGTTATCGTTATTTCTTCTCAACCACCATTTTCTCTTTCCTTCCATTCGCTACAAATTTATGTGTTTTTATCTCTGAAAACCAACACCATGACCATCACACATATTTCTTTCTTTTCCCATCTCCTCCCTCTTCAATTTGCTGCTTACATATATACATATAATATATATATACACATATAATATATATATATACATATAATATATATATACACATATAATATATATATATATACATATAATATATATATACACATATAATATATATATATATATATATATATAATATATCCTTGAATATCTTTTGAATGCAACACAAAGCTTGACAAAGATAAAAACGACCATGAGCTACTACTAACAGCATATTGTTGATATGGTGATGGTGACTTGGTGAGTGGCAACCATGAGCTACTACTGTTCTCGTCTAAGTCTCACCTTAATTTATTTCTTATATATATATATATATATATATACACACACACACACACACACTTAGATTTATCAGATTTGTTGCTAAATTATCGGTATCGAACTCGAAACTTCTGACAGATGGCCAGTGACCCAAAGAAACAAAAGATAAAAACATAATCATAAATTAACTAATCCTCTCGGAGACATTCTTAAGAATAAGAAAGAAAAACAACTGAGGTTATTCTAAGCTGTAAACTTTAATTAAATCAGAATAGTTTCTTTTATTGATAGACTATTTCAGTAAGATGGAATCAAATCCGATTCCTATATTTATTTCCTTAGTTCTTATCAATTCCTGTAATGTAAAAAAAAACAATTTAAATATTTAATTTTTTTAAATATTAAATAGAAGGACTATGTCTTTTTTTTTAATGAATCTACTTTTATTTTATTTTGTACCGTAAAATTGTTTATATTATATTATAATTATATATATATATACATATATATATCACATATATGAATCAATTAAGGTGACAAATGACTCGTCAGATGTTATCTCCCACTTGAAAGTAGGATAAATTAATTGTTTCTTTCGCATCCACAATTCCATTACCAATAGGTATCTGTATCTTTCAACTTTCTCTTTTGAAGCATTTAATATCTCAATCGGATACAAACCTTACGTAATACTCCTTAATTAGTTACGAGACATAACATATTATATAGATGAAGTATGTATCATGTAAAAAATAAAGTTAAGATGAAGAAATCTGTACCATTGATCCTCTTTAATTTCAAATACTTGATCCAAGATTGATCTGACATCATTCTAATATACACTCAAGAATAGAATCTCCTCTTACATATTCCTACACTCTTCACTTTAACTCTTCTTCTTATCGGAATTCGAGTGATTAAACAGTAAAATTTACCCAATAACGTTTTGGAAAAGGATCGCATAAAAATAAGTTTAAAGTGAAAAACTTAAGGATCAACCTTGATTACCTTTAATCTCAAACTTACCCTATAAATTATGCTGATACAAGGATTGATTTAAGAGCCATTTACTAAACGATTGTTTAGTAAGTGCTTACTGAATAAATTTTCTTATCAGATAAACATGACAAACCAAGAATCTTACCAGATAAGAGCAATGAGAATGATGTAGTCTTACCCGATAAGTAAAGATGACGACTCTTACGTACCCGATAAATTGTTACATTCAATACATTCTAATGTACTAAAATCTTACGGATCAAGATAAATTATAATGTTAAAGACACTTATAGATAAGCACTTATCGAATAAGCATTTCGATAAACAACCCCTTAGTACATCTTATCTCGATACATCATTTCCTTCCTAATGTACATTCAAGAGATCACTCCTTACCGCTTCTAACCAAAACCCTGATTGGTTTACTCTCAGATAGGGCTGTAAACGAACCGAACGTTCAGCGAACCGTTCGTGAACCGTTCGGCGGGAAGTTCGTTTATGTTCGTTTATTTAATAAATGAACGAACATGAACAATTTTTTGTGTTCGTTTAGTTAAACGAACGAACATGAACAAGAGTCTCGTTCGTTCATTTATGTTCGTGAACGTTCGTTCATTTA